CTACACTGTGTAGCGAGTTATGCCGCGTGGCAGTCTGGTAATTTTTTTGTCCAAACGTGACAAAATGGTCACTCTCCCGCGCACGCTCAGCGTTTATTTGGATGATTTTTTTTTCTTCAAAAGTTATTTTTTTAAGAAAAAAACACTTCTCGTTTTTAGTTCTTTGGATGGTTGTTTTAAAAAAAAGCAGAAGTCACAAAAAAAATTAAAAACTTACTTTTTTCAGAAGCTAAAAATTTTAAATTCTAAAAAAAACAGAAATCAAAAGGCAATTTTTTTTTTCAAAAACTAAATACTTTTATAAAAATATAAAGGGTTAGCTTTTTCTGCAGTTACTGCAGATAAGTTATCTACAGTAAACTCAATACGACGCCGTTTTGGGCAGAAATCATGGTGTTTTTGTAATTTTAATTTATTTCAGATTATAATAGTCTTTATATTTATAATTTTTTAAGATTTCAATACCAAAACGACGTCGTTTTGGGAATAAATGCATATAGGGGTGAAACTGGGCCGGCCCGGTCTACAGGGGCCTACGGCTCGGCCTACGTCAGGCCAGACTTGACCTAGTATGTTTCGTAAAAGATTGTTTAATAAAAAGGCCATAGGCCCACTTTCACAAGGCTTGGCCTATAAGCCTACAGGCCGGCCTATATTGTGCAATTTATTTTAAATAAAATAAAATAGAATAAGTATGCCTTGAAGAAAAAATAAAAGATATAAATTTAATCAATTACAATTGTTTATAACTTAATTATATTCAATTATATTTTAATAGAAATCTGACTTTATTTGTTATGTAGGAGGAACCAACATCTCTGCATGTTAGATTGTGTATATGAGGAGGGTTGGAAAAACGCACCAACCCGGCTCGACCCGGCCCAACCCGCATTCAGCCCGAAAAAAATGGGTCGGGTCGGGTTGGCTCAGAAAAAAAACGAGCCAGAAAACCCAACCTGGCTCGACCCGAGCCGGGTTAGGGTTGGCTCGCGGGTTGACTCAAAAAAAGCTCGCAAGTTAGCTCGAAATGATGCTAGTGGGTTGGCTCGCGGGTTGGTTAGCTCAAAATATTGGCTCGCGGGTTGGCTCAAAAAATTTAATTTTTGTGGTTTGTTCTTCTGTATAAAATTATTGTATTTTGCAGTCCAACTACAAATAGAGTAGTTTACAAAATCCAAAAACATTAAATGAAACACAAACCACTCCACGAATCACACGAGTCAGTTATCATGATTTTCTGAATTACTCTAACTCACGATAACCATAAAACGTATATAAAGCCAAAAAATAAAAAATAAAAGAAATTCATTATATATTTCAACGATAAGCATCTAGAATCAAAAGCCAATCATGAAAAAAAGGACCTGCAAAAGCGACCAATATAGTAAAGTCCATCAGTGGAGAATCCTTCAGTAAAGTCCATTGTATTTTATTAAAAAAGAGTAACCCGCGAGCTGGCTCGTTCAACCTGCGAGCTGGCTCGTTTGAGCCCGGGTTGGCTCGGGTCGAGCTAAATCGAGCTGGCAGCTCATTTTTGCCAACCCAATCCGGCTCGTTTTGTGCGGGTTACGAGCCAACCCGACGGGTTGGCTCATTTTTGCCACCCCTATATATGAGTATATTAAAAGATTTTTGAAAAATGTTATACTTACTACAATCATCATGATTCGTTTGTTGGATTCATGTAATTATTTTAATTTACATAGTATGAATTTGTTTATTGGATCTAATGAAATATATGTTATTTAGTTTGAGCATTTTGCTTTTGAAAGTGACTTAAATGCAGATTGTATGAGTTTCGTTGTGATTCATGATTCTGTTTGGATGTTGAAATTATGATTTTTGGTTTAACAACAGAATTTGAGTATTTTGTAAAGTTGATTCATGGTTCTGCTTGGAAGTTAAAAATTAACAGGCTAATGGGCTAGGCCAGACTATTTATTTTTTTATAAACGGGTCAAACCAGATTAACAATTAGACTTGTACTAGGCTTGGGCCAGAAATTTTTTGGCGTAGGCTTGAGCTTTCGGGGCAAAGTTTGGCCCTACCCAGCCCACTTTCACCCCTAAATGCAGATAACTTATCTTTATTAACTGCAGAAACATTTTTTCTAAATATAAATAGCTTTAACTTTTATAAAAAAAATTGAGAAGTCCAAACAAATAGGCTCTTAAATACGTGATTTTAAGCGTTGGACGTTTGTCTTTGAAGGGAAACAATCATTTAGGGCATGTTTGATACATAGTATAGGATAATGCCTGATAGTATAAAATCTGATAGTATAAGGCCTGATTGTATAAGACCTGATTGAATTTTAATATTATCCAGCGTTTGGAACGGTATTGTATAAAATAATATATTGTATAAGATAATATCATCTAGTATTTGATAATGCACTGTATAATACTATATATGATAAAAATAAATATTTTTAATAAAAATATCCCTTAATAAAGAATTTATATAATTCTTCAAAAAATGTCATATGATATTAATTTTTATAAAAATTCATTGATCATTGTGTCCAAAATATAAATTAAATTTTATAAAAAAATTATTCAATATTTTAAAAATTAATATATTGAAAAATTAATTTTTATTTTAATAGATTAATATTAAAATAATATAGTACTTTTTTAGAATTACATTGGTCAACAATGTTAATACATCAATATTTTATCAGGTCTTATTCTTCACCCTTAGGCCGGATTAAGTTATACATTATTTTGATGTATTAAGGGATTATGGTGTATAAGCTTATCCTATACGATGGTCACACCAAACAACTGAAAATGTCATAACGTATAGTATAAACTTATACTATCATACCTTATACGTTACACCAAACAAGCTCTTAGTGCATGTTGGAGGCTTGATGATACCGTGCACTAACAATCAAATGATTGAATACAATGACAGAGAAAAAAAAAATTGTGAGTAAAAACGAATGCGGTAAAATTCGCGTTGACTTGAGCAAGGTAACATGCTAATGGGTCTTTTCTTGAAGTTTTCTAGCAATTAAAACCAATAATTAAAACCATCAACTAATCACTGAATTAAAATAAATAATTAATAATTTTAAAATTTGAATCAATTTAATTAAATTATTTTTTAAGCTCAAATTACAAAAATATTTGAAACCAATAACTTTTATAAGCTTGTTTTTTTTTAAGAGATATAAATAATTGAAGCGGTGTGACATGGGAGACATAAATCTTCATTTATATAATACATTAGACATAACGCTTATTTTGCAGCTCCAACCTGTGGTGAACAAGATCACTGAAATAGGACAGAAGTATGATAAAACTTATTCTACATAGGTTCATACTCTTATTTAATTCCGTTATGTAAGTTGAACATTTGAAATAACGGTATAATGTTTGTCTTAGCCTGCTTCAGCAATGTAGTGACTTCACTGGAACATACTTTATAGGGGAGGAATCTTTTTTTTTATAAATTACACTAAGTATGATGGGTCATACATTTGTATGATCCGGTCATATTTAATGTAATTTATAAACAAAAAATTTGTAAATATAATTTTTCTCTATCTACTTTCTATGCTACAACGAGACCTGAATATCATAAACTTATGGGATCAAAATATATATATATTTTCCTACTTGATCAATATGAGTCGTGACTTTGTCAATGATGTTTGATACTTCTCTACAATTCAGCCAAGCCTCATATAACAGAGAATTTGTTATCTGATATTCACTGATCAGCACAGAAATCTTGCCAAATACTAAAACATTAGGCATTGTCCAATATCAGTCTTCGTTAGGCATTATTTACAATGTCTACTTTCCTTTTTGTTCCTTTCAGCTTTTTTGCTGGGGTCCTCATTCCAGTTTTTCATCATGGCATAGGGGACTTCTATCACAACATTTTTCTGTGTTGAACTTATACTGAACCTGCCGTGCTCCCCGATTAAAATTTCAAGAATACAGATCTATATTTTTGGAATTTTGAGAATGGAATATAGACTTTTATTTAGGTATACAGTTCAACCAGTGACCCAATACCTCAACCGAATCGATAACTTTGCAGAGTTCTAACCCTATCGCTCAAAAGCTCCTACACTTTGCGAAAGTCGGGGTAAAGGCTAATTCTACACAACTTTACTCTTGCATTTTGAGAAGAAAATTTCTTATGACTCAGCATTACCATTATGTTGATCATTATTCATAATTATTATTTTTCTGGTATTTTTCTCTGATACAAATTTTGGAAGAAAATTTTTTGTACAATCTTGGTGGCGCATGTCCAGTAATCCTTCAATATTGATAAATTTATCAGCGTAATATTAATAGTGATATCATCACTTATTTTTTTAGAAACAGATTGCATGAGTTTGGTTTTATCATTCACTTCATGATTGATTAGAAAGGAAAGTTGAGTTAAACATGTCGATCTGTAATGGACTTTTTCTGAAGCATTGTTTGATAAATATAATAGAACGGGACAGAACAATGACATATAAGTTATATTCTATGTTTGGTGCATCTTAAAAGTAGAACATAAACAGAACCTGCTGTAACATTCCGTACGTTTTGATTTGTCCGTACATAAAACACTACCATAATATTTTCAGTTTCAGTTTCGTTTTATCTTTACAAGTACCAGGTTGAAAAGCATTCTCTTATTTAGTAGAGCCGTTAAGTAGTAAGTACTCTAGATCAACTTATTTAGTGAAAGCCCCACTTTTTCTTTCTATTAATAATATTATTTAAATACATCTCAGTCAAAACATTTATTTCCATTTAATACTGCAACTGCGTCTAAATCAAAGTACAATTCAATAAAGCTTTCAATACTAAAATTAGAAGGTTTACAGTTAAATAATTTTCAAACCCCATCCTAAAAGTAGCATAATTAATATTCAATTTCTTTTTTTTTTTTAAAAACAAGAAAAAAAAAAAACTACATTATTCTTCTTGGTAAAGAAATATTATTGTAGAAGCTCTATTTCAAAGTTCAGACAGTAACTATGGACCTTATCATAGATAACATTAACAGTTCATTTCAGATTGTTTCATACTAGCTTGATTGAGTTCTAGGCTACTACTGCTAGTACCAACCCCTTTGTACTTATACCACTTTGCACATAATAAGAAGTAACCAAAATTAATGACTTCTAGACCAGTTATTATGTAATAAAAGTAATCTAATCTCCCCTTGTTGAGATCCTGTGGTAACCAATTCCCTGTAGCAGAATTGGCTGTCATCTGATGGATAATGGAAATCAGCAAACTACTCAAATAACTTGATCCTGCCAGACCACAGAAAAAAAGAGACCCTGCAAGGCTTCTCATGTTTTCAGGGAATTGTTTATAGTAAAATTCAACTTGTCCCACCAACGTAAATGCATCAGATAGTCCTGCCAACGTTAGCTGAGGAATCAACCATAGACCTGACATTGAAGAAATGGCACCTTTTCTTGGTTCTACTCCAACAGGCTTGGTAAGAGCCATAGTCCTTCGGCGCTCTTCAACCACACCAGATACTATCATGCAGATTATAGAGATAAACATGCCAATGCCCATCCTTTGAAGAAGAGTAATGCCGCCCTCTCTTTTAGTGAGCCTTTGGAAAGTAGGTACAATTTTTCGGTCATAGATGGGTAACCATATAGTCAAGCTCAGCATCATGAAGATAATATAAGAAGCTGCTGGGATCTTGAAATTAGTGTTAAAAATGCGTCTATCAGCTTGAAGGGCTTGGAACACTGACACTGTGTTCTGTTGCACAATAGCAACATAGTAGAAAATGCCCGAAACCCAAATGGGGATTACTCTTAGCAAGCATTTCACCTCTTCCACTTGCTGCATACTGCAAAGATTCCAGGGATCAAATGCAGACCCGTCCGGGTTTATATGATCTTGTGGGGTTATAATAGCAGCTTTGTCAAGGAACCTGTTAATATAAACATTTTAGAACCAATCATTTATGATAGAATATAATATAAACCATCGAAAAGCCTCTTACCCAAAAGCTTAAGCTTTTGGGTTGAATAGATTATTTATATGGTATAGAGCTTCAATGAGCGCAAGGTCACGAGTTCGATCCTCACCGCTCTCATGCATTTTTTAGTGGAATTAAAATAAGCAAAAAGTAAACCAAAAATTGAGCACGTACAATATTCTCGCTTCAAACCCAAAGAGCTCTTATGTGAGAGGGTGTATTAGAGAATAATATATATAAAACATTAAAAAAAACCCTCAACTAATACCTTAAGATTTTAGGTTGAATTGGTTTTTTACATAGTATCAGAGCTATGCCTGATGCATCATCCGTCTTTTAAGCCCAATGAACTCTCTTGTAAGAGGGCATATTAGAGATATGTAAAATCATTAATGTAACCTCACCCACCAACTTAAGTTTTTGGGTTGAATTGATCCTTTACAATTTCTACGAAGAAATAAGCAAATGTTAAATACTTGACGTTTACCTGAATTGAGACGTGTAAGGAAGCTTGGAGTTAATAGATTGGGGAGAGATATAGATAAAGAGTGAAACCAATGGATATTCTTGTAGATTTAGTCGCCTTTTCTTTATAGCTGCAACTATAACTTGAACTATACTTGTTACTGGACTACCTGTTGCTTTAACTTTCACATATGATTTGCTTCCCACAAAAAAGACTACGCATGACAACAGCATCAAAGCAGCAGGAATTCCCAAACCTATTGACCAGCTCACGTTTGACTGTATGTAGACGATCAGTGATAAGGAAACCATCTGGGCAAAAGTGAAGGTAAAGAAGTACCAATTGAAGAAGCTGTTGATTCCCTTCTTGCCAGACTCAGTCTTGGGGTTAAACTGATCAGCCCCAAATGCCAAGTTACAAGGTCGGATCCCTGCAGCTCCTACGATCAGAAATCCAAATCCAACCAGTAGAAATGCCATTTGCCCCGTAGTTGGCCCTATGCATGTACTGCTCTCCTTTCCACATTGAGGTGGATGCATATTCTTGATCCATGCTGTTAATTGTATAACAAGCAACCCCTGTTTAAAAAGCAAGGAGATACAAGAATTAGATGTCTGACTCAACTGAAAGATCTTTATTCCTTACAATCAGAATTTGTCTTGAGGTTATATCGGGTAAATTCTTCTACGAAAATTGGTAGCTTTGGTTATTAGTGTTAGGAAATTATATTTCTTAATATGTTTGTGAGCTATATATTGTATAAATAATTATAAGAAAAAGTGTGTTTCATTTTAAAGGATATAAAGTTGTGTCGTGAGAGAAAGAGATAGATTATGGGGGACAGAAAGTGGGGAAAAAAAATAAAGATGCGGATCTCACTTTTTTGTGAGAGTGAAATGATACAAGTTGTGTCATTTAAAAGAACAAACACTTTTCCCATAATTATATTATGTTATTTAATATATATTGGGTAAATTAAACTAATCAAATAAAGATGGCCAAATAAATTCTTAAGTAAGTGTGGGACAAACGAGTGGATAACAGTGTTGAACCAACTAGGTATAATGGTAACTTACTGGCCCAACAATAAAGAAAAACACTATAAAGGGTTATGGTCCCCAAGATGTCAAAGAACAACCCTAGTTTCTCTTCTCCATCAAGAGAGAGACAACACACTAAAGAATAAGGATTAAGGTTATTTGACTGACGAAGATCACGTACCCCAAAAATAAGATCATAAGCTTATTTGACTGAAGAAGATCGCATACCCCAAAGATGAAGATCGAAATTATTTTGCTGCTATGGAGATAGGTATGCCTCCACCCAAAGGTGAAATTATATTCCACCGCATGGTCAAGAGGAATTATTATTCCAACAATTAGTTGTTTGGATTAACTGATATATGTTTCTGTAAATTCTTTTGTGGTCGTTAATGTTTAAGAGCCTATATAGTTTCCAATCTCAAGAATAATACCAGAAAGGAAGCAAATGTGCTGAATGCCAGTGTCTTGTAACGACCAAAATATGTGTCACAAAGAAAAGCTCCTGCCAAGGTAGCTAGATTGGCGCTGCCACTGAAGATGTTGACAATATTTGTAGCTGTAATATTGCTCAGGTTGAAGACAGTTGTAAGATAGACTAAGAGGTTGGCTAAGGTGCCAATGGTTCCTAGCTTCTCAAAAGTTTCATTCCCTGCATGATGCAGATGAGTCACTTAAAATTCATGTTGAACAACGAAAGGAGAGCAAGTGAGACAGATTAACAAAGAGTCATGTAAAATTCACAAGTTGCTTACCAATGATGAAGGGCATGACCTTCCATCCTTTGTAGTTAATCTTTGGATCATCATCCGTCACACTTTTCTCATTGCTTTTCACACTTTCCATCTCATTTTTCTCCATAGTCTCTATGCCTGTCTCTCTTTTCCCAACAATGTTCATGAATATTCGAGCTGTTACTTTAGGAAAGAAGGACGAGGAAAGAACTCAAGTAGAGAGAGAGGAAACTAATGATTGTTCAGATTTTCTGAACACCACTCAAAATATCTCCAACCTCCCATCAAACAATTTTTTCTTCCTACTGCACTGTGGCACATTTAGTATTTTATAGTATATTTTTGGTGTGCACCCACTCCAGTGTTATTTCAGCGCTAAAATCACACCCATCACTCGGATATTGACTATAATGTCACTCTTATAAATACTATTTACATAAATGTCACGTTACAATCAAATTTTGTTAAAATATCTTGTCACATTTTCGCTACATCAACAAGCGAGAATGGAGTGGACACGTGATAGAGTCTGCATAAATAACCATTCTAGCTTAGCATCTCAGCGATAATGACATGGTGCTGACACGTGACAAAAGTACAAGTATTCTCACTGAACAGCCCAACTAAATTAGCCACCTGGATAGCTTTTGCAGATGTGGCAATCTGTCACATTGACCAAACATGCTCGCTACACAGCTCAACGAGAATGGCTGTCTATGCAGAAGTTATCACGTGTCTAAGTCCAATCTTGCTTGTTGGCATAGCGAGAATATGACTTAATATTTTAATATTTTAGTAAAATTTGATTAAAACATGATATACTAGTATTGATCAATGTTTCCCCGTCACTCTCTACTTGGGCATAAAGTCAAACAGAATGAGTGGTTGAAACAATACCTGTTTGGCAACGTATAATCTCACACGCTTCTCCTTACCATTTTTATCACACGCTTCTCCTTACCATTTTTATCAGTTATTGCTTATTGGATAATAATTGATTATCATTTAAATAAGTATTATGCATCATGGCAGTTCTAGTTATATGTGTTGGTTGATCCAAGTAATATTATGAATGAATGAAGTATTAACCAAAGAAAAGTCCAAGTTCTGTTAAATACTCCTCTAACTACAAGTTAAAATTGGAGTGGCCTTTAATTTGTCTCGATGTATCTCAAATTTCCAACTTTCAAGTAGAAAAGAACAAGTCGAACAAGAAGTTCCAGATAATATAACGTGAGAGAGTGTGGGGCTATGAAAATATCTTCTATATCTTTGTATTACATCTTTTATTAAAATTGAAAAAATAATATAACCGACTCTATTTATTTTACTCACTTTTTTATTATTATTGTCGACTAAGCTCTATTTTTTTTTTAATAAAAAAATACCTATTCCTGTGATACAAAAGATATGTTCGTCATTTACCAAAAAAAAAAATATATATGCTCGTGGCTATTGCCTATTGACATACCCTTTCTGTCTGTGTTACTCTATTTAATCACTTTTAAGTTTAATTTCTTAGCCTAGCTTTAATTGAATAGTCTTATTTTTTTTATTTTTTTTTTGGTACATTGCCAGGAGATATCCCCATTCAACCTTCTCCGGGCACCATGCCCTCGAGGTACGGCCCGTTTTGGGTTAGCCCTTCATTGTAACAGTGGGTGCACTAAGCTTCGCAACCGGAGAAAGGACGAGACTAATCCCCCAACCGAAGATTTTTGGCTTATCCTCTGGCCCCCAAAGATTTTCCAAGAAACTGCTTGAGGCAGGGTTTGATCCCCTGCACCAAGCAATCCCTTGGGAGCTCAGCTGCCAACTGAGTTACCCTTGGAGGTTGAATAGTCTTATTTTTAGGTTGGCCAGGCTTTTAAATAGTTCCCACATAGACATATTAATAAAATGTGATCTTGCTCTATAATTTGTGTTACAGTAAACAAAAACACATAAAAGTCTAATTTTTTACAGTTGCAAAATATTCATTATTAAAAAGGCATCAATAACTAATTTAATAATTGATTTCAATACAAACTGATTTTAAATAAGCAAATCGGCATTTAGACTTTATTTGATAGAGAAATTTATATCTTTTGAAATAAATTTTTATTACAAAAATCATAGGGAAATTTACATAATTAAATTAAGATAAATGTTGATAATTTCCTATTTGATTCTATGAACAATATTTTAAAAAATGTTATAACTGAAGGACTAAAAATAAAAAGTGATTCATGATTCAACCGTTGAGTCTGTACTAGTTGTTGAATTGAATCTCACAAGATAAAAAAAAAATGTTTAAAAACCAAATTAGATAATTTATATACGATTATTCATTATTACAGTAATAGTCAAAATTTAATAATATTATATATTTTTTATACTAATAATGGTTTAAAATTAAATCTTAATATATATATATATATATATATATATATATATATGTATACATACATAATATCACTTTAAAATTTTAAGAATTAAATACTTCAATTTAATAAACGTAAATTTAATTAATTTAACTGAACTTACATTAAAAAGATTTAAAAAAATGAAAAAAACATGTTTGAGCACATGATGATGTATTATATTGTCTAAGAACCTAAGATCGTAGTTGATTTTTTTCTTATTTTTATTTTAGTGGATATATTTTTATTATAATTATGAAAATACAATAATAGTCTCTTCTGATTTCTGTTCCCATGATTTTATATAGAAAATATTTGTGGAAATAGTTTCTCCTGTTTTGGGAGAAACTATTTTTCTCCCGTAGTTACATAAAAATTTGGAGAAAAAAATATCTAATATTACTTTAAACAACTTTATTTAATGTTCATTGAAACGATATCGTTTTGGGTAAAAAAATTGAATGATAAAAACTGTTATAACTATAAAATAAATTAAAATTACAAACACACCAAGATTTTCACTCTAAAACAATGTCGTACATTAGACAAAATTATCTAAAATAATTTTAGAAAAAAGAACCCTAAAAAATTATGCTATCTCTTTTCAAAAAAAAATTAATTGGTGGACCTCATTTTTTATGTTTCAGCATAAGACAATAACTTTTGTTTTTTTTTTTTTTTGTAGCAGAAGAAAAATATTGCCTAAAAGTTTTATATGAAAACAACATTTGAAACTTATTGTCCTTTGCTTGAGAAATCAATCCCAGTTTTTATTGGACATGAAGGCAGGACTGAGACTGACTAGTTGCCATGTCCATCACATTAAGAGGGTTATTACTTATTATAAATAGAATTTATAATTTTGTATCAGCATGCATGCTTAAATGCGTCGCTTACTTTACGACCTCTAATTATTATACATTATAATTTTTTATTTTGTATCAGCATGCACGCTTAAATGCGCGTTCCCCACAACTTCTGAACTTCCAGTTATTTTGTTGGACGTTTGTCTTTGAAGGGAATAATCATTCAGTCTATGTTGGAGGCTTGATGTGATCGTGCACCAAAAATCAAATTATTGAATCCAATGACGGAGGGGAAGGGACATTGACTCATCTATCACATTTTCTAATAAAATGTACCTATAAGTAGAGGTGGCAAGTGAACAGCGTGCACATTTTATTATTAATCCGTAAAAAAATAAGTTAACCCCTCCCATTTTTAGGAGTTGGCTGAAAAATTTAACCAGCTTCGTCTTATTTGATGGGTGAGGTGGGTTGGCTCGCCGACCCAAATATGTTTTACACTAACCCGCTTTGCACCACCCTCTCCGTTATTAATGTTGGAGGTTATGAAGTTGAGAGAGAAGGGTTTAGAAATACTTGAAGTATTACAACAAGAGACATCAAGTTTGGAATGCTCAACAGTGTTACCTCCAGCTTAGGAAACCCTAAATATAATGCAAGCTATTGGGCTCCAGCCCATATGGACCCAAATAACCATGTTTTCGCCTATTGAGTTTATATGTGAACATACAATTGGATTATATTATTAATATACCCAACAATCTCCTCTTATGTTCACCATATAGCACAATCCAATAGAGTGATCAATGTAATGTTCAAACAAATATGAATCATTCATATCCAGTCCAAGACAACTAACTCGGATCAATCAAAGAGTTTTAACTGTAAAACATTAAACTCAATAGTCATTTTCAATCTAAATAAATAAATCATCATTATCATGAATCTGTTCTGAGACCAACATACCAAAGTAAATATTCAGAGTTTTAGATTCAATATAAACTCATCCAAATCCCAACATCCAAAATAAGTCTCAAAATCAGTTCACAATCAACAATGTTCATAAATTAAAGATAGCAAAATGTAAGTCTCAAATAAATGGATTCCATCAAAATGGGCAATAGCAGGTGAACTGTCAAATCTCCACATACTCTAAATGATATATTCATTCATCAAGGAGGTGATCTTAGTCAAGATCCCTCTCATTAAGCTCTCCTCCATCTCTGCCATCCTCTGTAGAATATCAAGTATGAATTTCATATTATTATGAATTCAATCAGTTGAATAATATACCAAAGATGTCTAGTTTTACTAAAAGGACTTAACATCATATCATAAGGCAAAGAAGAACATATATTAATGTCATAAAGCATCGCAATATTATGTTCATAAGCATCAAGCCAGTTTCATAAATTATGAACAAGGCCTAAACAGTTTGTTTTGCAAAGAGCCATCAACTTAAGTTTATTTGTAAGAGAATAACTATTGTCTAGTTTCAATGAACAAAACCAATAGTCAAGCTACTTACAATAACCTAGTCATGTGATGTCAAGTTTCAATTAAGAACATGACCCCTAGGCTTCTTATGCAAACAACTATTTCAATGTTTCAATTTGGAATGTCACAATTACTTATTCCTCAAAGTCAAATAATCTAGCATCAAGTTTGGAATGAGATCATTTAACCAAAAGGATGGTCTAACCAGGTTGGATTGTATCATCAAGATTGGAATGACACAAGTTTCCCAGGTAGAACCTTTGAATCAGGTTTAAGTTATCTTCATCAAGTTTGGAATGAGACAACTTACCATTTTCAAATTAATCAGCAACTATGAACATCGATGAAACATATAAACAATGCTTATCATTTTGGCCAACAAAAGAAAGATTCGATAATTCAAAACACACAATTAAAAGGTAAGTAAATGGTAATTAAGACCTGTCTATATAGTCTTTAACCTCATTTCCCTCACTGTTTTGAATAATCGATCTTTAGGCATATCTTTTGTGAGAGCATTAGCCAAGTTATCCTTCGATCTGACATCGATCATGGTGATAACTCCTT